GGACAGGCGGTGGACTCAGTAGGGGAGGAGTAGGACCAAGAGAGGGCGGGAGGCCAAGAACCTGCTGAAGGAGCGGAACGTAGTACGGCCGCGGCCAGCACCTCCAGCAGCTCCAGCAGCACCGCCAGCAGCAGCAGTGCCTCCAGCAGCTCCAGCACCAGCAGCACCTCCAGCAGCGCCAGCAGCACCACCAGCAGCAGCAGCACCTCCAGCAGCTCCAGCAGCACCAGCACCAGCAGCACCTCCAGCAGCGCCAGCAGCACCGCCAGCAGCAGCAGCACCTCCAGTAGCTCCAGCAGCACCAGCACCAGCAGCACCTCCAGCAGCGCCAGCAGTACCGCCAGCAGCAGCAGCACCACCAGCAGCTCCAGCAGCTCCAGCACCAGCAGCACCTCGAGCAGCGCCAGCAGCACCGCCAGCAGCAGGAGCACCTCCAGCAGCTCCAGCAGCACCAGCACCAGCAGCACCTCCAGCAACGCCAGCAGCACCGCTAGCAGCAGCAGCACCAGGGTCCGCGACACCGGGAGCGCCACTCCGGAGACTGTTGCGCCGAGCGTACCACTCTCGGAGCCGCTGGGGAGAGGGCAGCTCCCGCCTAGGAGGGGAAGCACGAGCACCAGCTCCAGCAGCACTCCGAGCTCCAGAAGCACCCCTCCTGAGGCTGCAGTACTGTAAGTACCTCTCACGTAGCTGCTGCGAGGAGAGGGCTCCTCCAGATGTAGCACGCTCAGTCTCAGCACCCTCAGGCTCAGTACTCGCAGACGGAGCACTCCCAGGCTCAGCACCCCCAGACTCAGCACCCCCAGACTCCGCACCCCCAGGCTCAGCACCCCCAGACTCCGCACCCCCCCGCTCCGCACCCCTAGGCTCCGCACCCCCAGGCTCCGCACGCTCAGGCTCAGCACCCCAAGCAGGACGAGAGTCGATAGCTACCTCGACAGGCTCAACCGGGTCTACCTGGGACACACCTGAGGGAGCGGCACCCTGAGGGGGGAGGGGGTCTACCACAGTAGCACCTGGTGCGAGGAAGAGAGGCGGGGGGGGGGAGCGGGGCAGTGCGGTAGGGGAAGAGGCGGTAGTAGGAGACCGACTCGTCGAAAGTGACGTCCTGAGAGGGCAGGACACGGCGCGAGGTGGCGTGGTAAAACTGCCAACCAGACGCGTCCGGGACAAAGCCAAGGAAGACACAAGGAACAGCGCGGGAGGAGAGCTTGTCCGCGGACGTATCGCGGACAAAAGCTCGAGATCCCCAGACCCGAAAACGCGACGCATCGCCAACCTCTCCCGTCCAACGCAGTGTCGGCGAAGTCTCCGGAACGGAGACACGGGGCCAGACGTTGAGCTGATGCGCAGCGTATCGGACCGCAAACGGCCACAGAAAGTGGGGGGCAGCCGCATGGATCAAGGAGGTACGAGCGACCTCCATGACCAAGCCAATGCAGCGCTCAGCTACCCCATTCTGCTGTGGAGAGGCCGGAAGCGTGAACGACTGCTCAATGCCCTCCCCCTGATAGAAGGCCCTCAAGAGGTCGGAGGAGAACTCCCCACCTCTGTCAGAGCGCAGACGCAGGACAGGAAAGTCCGAGTGGAACCTCTCGCTGAGCTGGAGACGGGCAGCGCGGATCCAAGGGATCAAAACATCAGGGACTTCACCCTTGGTGCGCAAGGGGAAGACCGTGGTGTAGCGCGAGTAGTCGTCAACAACTATCAAGAAGTACCTCTCGTGACCCTGTCCACGGACGCGGGCTGGGCCCCACACGTCCATGTGGAGCGTCTGCAGGGGAGCAGTCGTCGGGGGAAACGAGGAGGAGTGAGGAGCGGCACGCTGCCGCCCCTCGACACAGGGAAGACAGGGAGGAGCAGGCGAGGGTGGGAGGGGAGGGAGAACCCTGGGAAGACCAGAGACAAGGTACCGGGAGTGCATGCGACGAAGGCGCTGCACTGACGGGTGACCAAGGCGGTGGTGCCATAGGACGGTCTCGTGCGACAGGGAGCGACACGAGCAGGGGGCCGACAGCTGACCTGACGCAGACGCAGACGCAGCTACCTGAGGGGACTCAGTGGTCAGTGTGTACAGGTCCGACCCCGGCTGCCGAGTAAAGGTAGCCAGGTGGCGACCCGTCCGAGCGCACGTGCAGTGTGTCACGCGCTCGTAGGCAGGGGTGAACTGGTGGACACCCCCGTCCTGGAGCGCACTACCCGCCACCAAGTTTGTAGAGAACGAGGGGACTTAGAGGCCTGACAGTGTGCCCGACGGGACTGCAGGACAAGGGAGGACAGTGGAGGAGGTCGCAATGACCGGACCCCCAGAGGGGTCAGCGAGGGAGACTGCAACCGGCCGAGCAAGCTGCTCAAGGGCAGTGCGGTCACGAAAGAAACAGCGAGAAGCACCTGAGTCCAGTGTGAAGGTGTGCAGTGCCTCAGCAGACTCTGTACCAGAGGGCGCAGACTCACGAGCACCTAGCGCAGCAGCCTCACCAGCACCTGGGGCAGCAGACACACTAGCACCTAGAGCGGCAGCCTCACCAGTACCTAGAGCAGCAGACTGGATACCGGGGTCAGGCGGCACACACAGGTGACAGGCACCCTCAGTACTAGTAGACAATGCATACATGGCAGTGAGGATAGCATCATAGTCAGAAGCAAAGATATCTACCCTCTGCCTAAGTAGCTCCACCCAGTCGGGGAGCTCAGCGTCGTCGCCAAACTCTGTACGCCAAGCGTCGCTCAGACGGGCGAAGCAGTGGGACTCTGTGTGACCACGCGTCCCGCAAGGCTGACCAGTCCGGGCACCCGTGCTAATAACGTACGGGCAGCGAGCAGTACTCAGCGACCCTCTGCTCTGAGCGTACCACTCACGAAGCTGCTGGGGCGAAAGAGTCTCGCGCGGACGACGCTGCTGCTGCACCGGGCCACTACAAGAAGCTCCCGAACTACTGACTCCAGGATGACTCCCACTACGGCCACCCCGACAACCCCAACTGACGTACCACTCACGAAGTTGCTGGGGCGTGAGGGACACACGCGGACGGCCCTGGAGCTGCATTCGGCCACGCCAGGAATAGCAGTAGCAGCAGTAGCGGCAGTAACAGCAGTAGCAGCAGGAGCAGGAAAAGCAGTAGCAGCAGTAGCAGCGGTAGCAGTGCGGGCAGGGCAGTGCTCACCAGTGGTTAGGAAGGGCAGGCGCAAGACGGTGGCGAAAGCGGGGCCGCTACAGCTGGAGGGCGGGGTCGGGCCGCGGCAGGGAGCTCCGCGGCAGCTGCTGCAGGGCAGGGCCGGGCCGCGACGGCAGCTGCTCCAGGGGCCAGGGGCGGCTCCTGCAGTGGCGGCTGCTCCAGGTGGCCAGGGGCGGCTGCTGCAGGGGCGGCTGCTCCAGGGTCCAGGGGCGGCTGCTGCAGTGGCGGCCTGCTCCAGGGGCCAGGGGTGGCTGCTGCAGGGGCGGCTGCTCCAGGGTCCAGGGGCGGCTGCTGCAGTGGCGGCTGCTCCAGGGGCCAGTGGCAGCTGCTCAAGGGTCCAGGGGCGGCTGCTGCAGTGGCGGCTGCTGCAGTGGCGGCTGCTCCAGGGGCCAGGGGCGGCTGCTGCAGGGGCGGCTGCTCCAGGGTCCAGGGGCGGCTGCTGCTGGGGCGGCTGCTCCAAGGTCCAGGGGCGGCTGCTGCAGTGGCGGCTGCTCCAGGGGCCAGGGGCGGCCGTCCCAAGGGCGGTCGCGGGGTAGGGCAGGGCGCCGCGGCGAGCAGGGGCGACCCCGCGCGGGTCCCAGTGGCGACGCGCGGGTCGCGCGGGGGCGTCGCGACGAGGCAGGGGCGACGCGCGCGAGTCCCGGTGGCGACGCGCGCGTCGCGCAAGGGGCGTCGCGACGAGGCAGGGGCGACGCGCGTGGGTCCCGCAGAAGCGTCGCGACGAGGCGTGGGCGACGCGCGGGTCCCGCAGGGTCGTCGCGACTAGGCAGGAGCGACGCGCGGGTCCCGCAAGGGGGGCGTCGCGACGAGGCAGGGGCGACGCGCGCGGGACCCGTAGGGGCGTCGCGACGAGACAGGGGCGACGCCGGGGTCCCGCAGAGGCGCCGCGACGAGCAGGGCGACGCGTCGCGGGGTCCAGGGGCCGCGAAACCCTAAACCAGGGGCGGCTGCGCGGGTGCAGAGCAGGCCCGCGCGTGGCCTGCAGGGCAGGGCGGCAAGGTGGCTCTCGAGGGCGCGAGTAGGCAGACGCTCGAGGGCGCGAGTAGGCAGGCGCTCGAGGGCGCGGGTAGGGGCGCACGACGGCGCTAGAAGGGGCGCTCGATGGCGCTAGGAAGGGCGCTCGACGGCGCTAGAAGGGGCGCTCGACGGCGCTAGTAGGGGCGCTCGACGGCGCGGGTAGGGGCGCACGACGGCGCGACGGTACTATCAGACACGGTCGCGCAAGGGCGCGGCGGAACGGTGGGCCCTAACCAACGTCGGTCCTAGGTCCTGACCTAGGCGTCAGATACCATGTTAGAATGTAGAACTGAACGAGAATGATTGAACTAGGAATGTTGGGAGTACAAGTAGCAAACCTAGAGTAATGTACCCCCTAAAGGCTAACCCACTGTAGCCTACACAGCAGTAACATGTATAATGTTTGACAGTAAGAGCTTTCATTGAGGGATTGGAGGATCCGGGGTGAGGGAGAAGGTGTTGGGGGGAAGGCCGGTATCATTGGAGGCAGCGGAGGAAGCCGCTAAGTACTTTGTGACCTATGCGCAGCCAAAGGAGATAGAGAAGGAGGAGAAGAAGGTAGAGGTGAAGAAGGAGTCGGATGTGGATAAGATCACGAAGCAGTTGAAGAGGTTGACCATGCAGCTGACTCAAATCCAGCAGGGTAGGGGAGCGGGTATCCTACCTAGACCGGGAGGAGGAGCTGGAGGAGGAGGATTTAAGTGCTATCAGTGTGGGAAGGAGGGGCACATGACGAGGGAATGCCCTAACAAGGGGAGGGCGGCCCTGAACGTGATGCAGCAGATTATGGAGAAGTCGAAGCCGACCATGACCATAGCGGAATTCTTGAACGGAGAAGAGGGTGGAGTGGAGATGTTGGTGGGGAGAGGAAGCGGAGAGCCATTAGGGATCCAGAAGGGTGGGGGATCGATGAGGCAAGGGAGGAGTTAAGGAAGAAACTAGCGGATGGAGGAGGAGGAGAAGAGGCAAGGGGGTCAAGGTTTGTGAGGGGAAGGCGAGGATCTCGTCCCTCCCCACCTCCTACAACGTGGTGGATCAACTCAAGCTCACACCCGTGAGTGCGAGTGTGTGGAACTACATCAAGGACAGCGATAAGGATAGAAAGGAGTTGTTGGAGGCTTTAAAGAAGGGGGATGAGGAGAACGAGGAGGGGGCAGCTGCTATGCAAGGGGTGGCAAAGGTAGTGGCAGCCGCACCGGTGGAGGCTAAGGGGAAGGAGAAGGAGGCACCTAGAGCTAGTAACCTGTTTTTTCAGATCCCACAGTGTGATGTGTATCTCGGGAAGCATCGGGTGACCGCGATAGTTGATTCGGGAGCCTCTCAAACCGCCCTCTCCCACGTGATAGCTAGAAAGCTCGGGCTACTACCGTACATCCAGGATACCACCATAGAGTTCACCACCTCTAGCGGGGAGACTTCGAAGCCGTGGGGAGTTTTGCCGGACGTGCTGGTTAGAGTAGGGAAGCTGACTCTGCCGGTGGACATTGCAGTGACGGGAGCGAACACATACGATATGCTCCTAGGGCAGGATTGGATCTACTCGGCCAACGCGGATATCTTGACTAGTAAGGGGAAGATAGTTTACCAAGTTAACACCACGGAGACCGACTCGGTCCCCATCACCACAGGACCATTGGGTGGTGGTGGCCGCCCCTCCTATGTGCTCCTCCCCTCCCATACAACCCACAGGAACATCAACGAGGAGGATGAGGAGCGCATCAAGGAATGGATGGAGGAGCAGGACTTCCTCAAGTGGACGGAGGAGAGGAGGGTAGCCATGGCAGAGGAGGAAGGGGGAATGGAGTTGAACGCGGAGGAAGAGGATGAGTACTACCTATGGCTAAGGGAGCAAGATGAGGAAGGGGATAAGGAGGAGGCATCGAGTGAGGAGGAAGAAGAGGAGGAGAAGGAGCTTAAGGTGGTGGATGGAGAAGAGGAGGCTTGGGGATATGACTTTGGGAGCCCAACGGCGGAGGAGGTAGGGGCTTGGGAGAGTGCAGGCTTGGGATCGATTGGGACAAGGAGTATGATGAGATGGTGGAGAAGTATGTGGGAGAGGTGAACGAGGCCAAGTGGGAGGGAGATTCCATGGTGGACGGAGAGGAGTATTTGGATTACGAGTGGGAAGAAGGGGAGCTGGTTTATGATAAGAGGAGGAAGCCGATAAGCACGGACCATTTCTTCGAGATGTACAGCTACCCGGCAGCAGAGAAATGGAATTACGTGGCAGTCGAGAGTGGGGACGAGGGGAGGATCATCCTAGGTAGTTACTACACCCTCAAAAAGGATGGTGCCTAGGGTAGCTTGCCCCGCGTTCGAAGACTTACCCGTTTCACTAAACCACGAGCTAGATAAGCAGCAGCAGAAAGAGGTGCGGACGCTTTTGGTGGAGTATAAGGAGGTCTTTTCCACGGAGAAGGAGACGCTAGGAAACCCATCCCACCATTCGCCACCACATTGCCACCGGGAGTGCCAAGCCGATAGCCCACAAGCCGTACCGAGTCTCACCTTCCGAGCGCGCTAGAATCGAGGAGGTGGTCCAAACCTTGTTAGAGCAAGGAGTCATTCGACGGTCAGTACGAGTACGTGCGGATGCCATTTGGGCTTAGGAACGCACCCGCCACCTTCCAACGCCTCATGACAACCACATTCCGCATCCACAAAAACGCCATCCCATACCTCGATGACATCATTGTCTTTTCCAACAGTTGGGAGGAGCACCTTGGAGCATCTGCGGGATGCTTTTGAGAGGATCAAGGAGAACCACCTCTTGCTGAAGCCGAACAAGTGTGAGCTGGGATTCTATTCCACCATCTACCTGGGGCATTTGGTGACTCGGGAGGGAGTGAAGCCGGACGGAGGGAAGGTGGAGGCGATTAGCAACATGGCGGCACCGGTGGACCAGAGGGGCGTGCGGGAGTTCCTGGGGTGCACGAGCTACTATAGGAGGTTCATCAAGGGGTACGCCAAGGTGGCACACCCTCTCACGCAGCTGCTCCACAAGGACCATGCCTTCGAGTGGACACACGAGTGCGAGCAGGCATTCATCGACCTTCAAACTCGCCCTCATTTCCCCTCCCATACTTGCATTTCCAGATTTTTCCCAACCATTCATTCTCCAAACAGATTTCTCGGCCAAGGCACTAGGGGCGATATTGGCTCAAAAGGACGAAAAGGGAGCGGAACGGGTGGTCGCATATGCGAGCCGAACTACAAGGGGAGCGGAGCGGAATCTGTCTTCAACACACGGGGAGTGCTTAGCGGTGGTGTGGGCGATCAAACACTTTAGGCCTTACCTCTATGGGAGCAAGTTCTTGCTGCAGATGGACCACCAAGCACTCCAATGGCTCATGACGGCGAAGGACCTCACGGGAAGCTGGCTAGGTGGCGTTTGTTGCTGCAAGAGTACGATTTCACCATCACCTACAAGGCGGGGGAGACGCATAAGAACGTGGACTGCTTGAGCCGCATGCAACAGGGGTTGCATCTTCAAGAGATGGGGGGAGGACCATTTCATTGGCATGCATACATCCCATCACCTACCCATCCCCTCTCCCACACCAGCTACCCCATCCCCATGTACATATCCCTCTTTCCCAACAACCAGGAGGATGATGAGGAAGAGAGTAGTGAGTCGGTGACCAAGGGGGAGATGGAGAAGGGTGACGAGGAAGAGGAGAGTACGGAGGAGAATGGAGGAGAAGAGGAGGAGAGCTTTGAAGAGGGGCAGCGGCCGGATGAGGGAATAGAGGAGGAGCAACTGCTAGAGGAGATAGGGCAGCCTAAGAAGAGGCAAAGGTGGAAGGAGAGGAAGGCGAGGAGGAGACCCCTAGTAAGAATCTCGCGTCCGAGACCGCCCTCGATATATGGGACGACACCAACACGTTGTTCTTCTTGGAGAAGGGAGTGGTTGATCCGGCATTGAGCACGGTGGAGAAGAGGAGGGTGAGAGCAAGGGGAAAGAACTTTGAGTGGAGGGATGGGAGGCTGCTGAAGAAGATCAAAGGGGAGTTGAAGCCGGTACCACGGAAGAGGAGAGGAGGGACATCATAGCATTTCTTCATGGGTTGGGGCATTTGGGGGTGCCAAGGACCACGGACTTGGTGAAGAAGCAGTATGATTGGTATGGAGTGGGAGTGATGTGACGGCATTTGTGAAAGGGTGTGCCACGTGTGTGTTCCAAAAGGGATCTTGGACGGCGAAGGAGAGTTGCAGCCGGGTACAGGTCACGAAGCCGTGGGAGAGGGTAGTGATAGACTTCATCGGGCATCTCCACACAACGGCAAAGGGAGGGAACAAGTATGTTATCTCGGCCATGGATCACTTCACCAAGTGGCCGGAGTGTAAGCCGGTGAGGAGTGCGGATGCGGCAACAGACAGCGGCATTTGTAGCAGAGAAGATTATCTCCAACCATGGCTGCCCATTGGTGATCCACAACGACAACGGGTCTTATTTCAAGGGGGAGTTTGGGGTGCTGTGGAGAAGTTTGGGATCCACCACGAGTTCTCGCGTCCCGAACATCCTCAAAGCTCGGGACTCATTGAGAGGTTCCAACGGATCTTGAAGGGGGCGCTATTGAGGCTTGGGGAGACCAACCCTTTGGAGTGGGATAAGAACATTTGGTGGGTGTGGCTGGGGTATAGGGGCCTCAATCCATTCTTCCACCAAGTTTTTCCCCCTCCTTCTTCCTACAGTATGGGCGCCACCCAAACATCACGCGCACCACCATGTCGGAGTTTGAGGCGCGGGAGCTGTCGGAGTTGTCCACAGAGAGGAGGAAGCGGATGCGGTAGCCGGGTATCTCTATAGAAGGTCCTCGGATATGGAGCTGGTGTTAGCTCAGGCAGTGGGGAACCATGATAGGCCGCAGGAGAAGCAGAAAGCTAGATTTTGACTTGAGGAGGACAACGGCCTTAGAGATGGAGAAGTTGGTGAAGGGGGACTTTGTCCGCATCAAGGCCGAGTAAGAGGGTGGCATGGGAGAAGCAGGCTAATAAGTTTAAGACGCTGTTCAGGGTGA